TAGGCTATGGCTGCCTGCTACTTCCAGCTCGCCCGTGAGCGTGTGAGCCTAGCAGGCGGTAGCGCAGCAGCGCTTGCGCACAAAGCAGCCAGTGCCCGAATGTCCAATGCGTAGGCAGGCCCTTCCCTATATCGAAGTGGCCTGCAGCTGCGTGCTGTGCTGCGGTACTGGGCCCTGGTCCAGAAGCTTCCGGTAGGTCCAGGGAGGCTGAGCCTCATTCCGAAGTCAACAGGCCCAGGGCCTGTGGTGGTTACAAGCACCCAACTGCCCTCAGCCTTTGTTCGGCCCACTTTATGTATCCGGCCCAGGGCCTGCCTCAGTTACATGCAGTGCAAGGCACCCTGGGCCTGGGCGCTTCCAACCGACTGGCACTGCGCAACTGCCTGAATTTCCCCAGTTGCATAGTAGTCCAAAATAGGCCTCTTGAGGTCTGTCGACGCTTGTTGCAAATAGGGGCTCAGTAGTGCTTATCGAGGCCTTGTGCCTCGCATTCCCTCCTCCATACTTCGCTAGTCTGAGAAGTTCATTCTTCGATAATCTGGCGCTTTCCCCTTCTGCAGAGACTTCTCATAGTGAGCGACTACCTGTGGAGCGGTCTGCATCAGTTCCTCTCTTGTGAACCATCTATCCTCCTTTGGATCAGTGTGATGTCTGAACCGAACTCGATACTGCAGCATTGGTTTCGGAGGACATCCTCTGCCTGTTGGTCTTGGAACTGGCATCTCCCTGTGATCAACAATGTCGTCGATGTCGACCTCTCCATCCATGGTTGGGCGCAGCATTGAACGACGAGAGTGAAACTGATCTTTTTCTCTAAAAGGTGCAAGCTTTGAGGCGTGGAAAACAGGGTAAGTGTGTAAGTGACCAGGGATACGAATAACATAAGATGGTCCATCTGGTTCATTCCCCACAACGTCTAGAATCTTCCAGGGTCCAAAGTACTGTGGCATGAGTTTACGGGAAATCCCGTACTCCCGTCCCAGTTCTGAGGACTTAACCCAGACTCTTTCTCCTACCTGGAATGTAGATGGGCGGCGGTGCTTGTTCTCAGACTCTATCATCGCCGCCTGTGCTTTGTGCATCTGTTCGACTGCCTGTTGCATCAGTTGCTCATATCGATAAGCAAACTCCAAGGTCCCTGGTGCAGCAGCTGACCGATTCTCAGGTAGTAGGAAGTCCAAGGGCAGTCTAGGCTTGAAAGTCAGTAGCAGGCTGTTCGGACTTACTCCTGTAGCGCTGTGCACAGCGTTGTTGTACAGGCTGGCGATGAGAGCGAGCTTCTCATCCCAGTCTACCTGATTCGGCTTGATGTAATGCCTCAGCAGGTGTTGTACAGCGCGGTTCAATTGCTCTGCCTGCCCATTTGCTTCTGGGTGATTGCCTGATGTCATTTGCAACTGCGTGCCCTGTTCTGCAGCTGCAGCTTTCCACGGTTTCACTAGTGAATCGCACATCCCGATCACTAATGATAGACTTGGGCAGTCCGAAATCTCTGACCCAGTTTTCGTTTGAACAGCTTAATGACGTACTCAGTCTTTGCTGTTTCCGGCATTGCAACTAATCTAGCATACTTACTAAACCTATCCACAATGACAAAGATGTATCGCATTCCACTCTTGCTGGTGATCAGTGTGTCCATGAAATTCATGGATAAGCTCTCACCGGGCCTTTTCGGAATCGGAAGGGGCTTGAGGAGCCCAAGAGGGGCCTGTGTACGGGGCTTGTCTCTCTGACAGAGCTGACAAGTCTCCATGTACAGCTTGGCAGCTCTCATCATCGTGGGCCACCAGAACCGCTGCAGCAGATTGGCTGCAGTCTTCTTGAAACCAAAATGTCTCGTGGCATCATGACACTCGCCTAAAAATAAACTACGCAAAGACTCCCTATCTGGCACACACAGACGTTTATTCCCTGCCTTCTCAAGGAACAGCAGTCCGTTGACCGACTCAAACTCGGCAGAAGTCGCTTTGTCCTTCACCTCGAGTCTGCGTATGATCTCAGACATAAACCGGTTCTCGCGAGAGACATCCACCATAGAGTGAGTAACATCGTCTGCAAGCCCAAACTCAGTGATCAGCGCACCAGAGAAATCTGGTCTACGCGACAACGCATCAACAACCTTGTTGTACTCGCCCTTGATGTACTGGGGCTCAAAGTCATACTGCTCTATGACGTCAATCCAATGCTTCAGAGCGTCGGAGAGCACAGGCTGGGTTCTCATCCACTTCAGGGTCTGGTGATCAGTCCTGACGTAGAAGAACCTCCCAAGGAGACAGTGTCTTCAATGAGTGAGCGCTTTGTAGATCGCATAGAGTTCCTTCTCATAGGTGGACTTAGCCAACTTCTGAGAGGGCATTTTTTTGGACATGTACTCTACCGGCCTCAGCTTCTTCCCCTCCTGCTGTGCAAGTAGGGCGTCTATGCTATATTGGCTAGCATCCGTAGTTACTACGAAAGGTTTGTCAGGGTCAGGAAGTTTCAAGACCTCATGGTGTGTCAACGCATGCATCAGTTGTTTGAAAGCAGCCTCACACCGGTCTGTCCACTCCGATGGGGTGTCAAGGCGAGTCATGTCCGTCAAAGGGGCGGCCACTATGCCGTAATTCTGAACAAAATTGCGGTAGTAGCCCGTCATCCCTAAGAAGGACCTCATCTCAATCACAGACTGAGGACGCGGCCAGTCACGAATGCTGGCCACCTTCGCGTCATCGGGCTTCAATCCCTCCGCGGAAATCTCATGACCCAAGTACAAGACATGGGTGCGGCCAAACTCGCACTTCTCACCGTTGATCTTGAAATTGTGCTGTCGAAGAAGGCTAAGGACTTTGTCCAAGTGAGCAACGTACTCCTCAACAGGCTTACTAAAAATAAGTATGTCATCGAGGTACACGATGACAAACTTATCCAAGTAGTCATGAAATATCCGATTCATAGTGTGCTGAAAGGTGCCGGGAGTATTGCAAAGGCCGAAAGGCATGACCACAAACTCGTACAGACCGTACCTGGTCTGAAATGCGGTTTTGTGTTGATCCTCGGGCCGGATTGCAATCTGATGGTACCCGGACTTCAGATCTATCTTACTGAAGTACCGACACCCTTGCACTCTATCTAGCAAGTCATTGATGCGCGGTAGGGGCTCTCTGCTCTTGACAGTGATGGCATTGAGGCCCCTATAGTCAATGCACATCCTAAGTGTTCCTTCCTTCTTCGGTACGAATAGGACTGGTGATCCATAAGGAGAAACACTCGGCCGGATCCAACCCTTTTCTACGAGTTCCTTGAGTTGCCGGCGAAGCTCATCAAGCTCGCCTGGAGACATCCGATAGATCCTACCCTTTGGAATGCTAGACCCTGGGATAATCTCTATCACGTGGACGACCTCCCTCTCAACAACCCCTGTAGGCTCTTCAAATAGATCAGGGTACTTGGCAACTACTCCCTCTATCGCATGCTGCAAAGACATAGAATGAGGCCGCACACATGCATCCGTGGGATTCAATCAGACTACTAACTTTGAACTTATGTAATCTGGCGGTCCCTCCACTTGGCAAAGTGTGTTTGACCACGTTTCGGTCCCAGTCAAATTGGGGCTGTGCCACGGAGAGGTAGTACATACCTAACAAGATATCCATAGGGAGATCATCGCTCGCTAGGAACGAGACGCGATGTCTCAATTCCCCTCTCGCATATGGGAAACAAAACCCAACATCATGGAGGTAGTCGTTGACTACCATGCGCTGTTTGTTGGCACAGGTCGACTCCACAGGTTGACTCAGGCGCTGCACTTGCCCCTGTAAGCGCAGCCTATCAACGCACACGCGACTAATGAAGTTCCTAGTAGAGCAAGTGTCATAATAGGCCCCGGGCTTGCGGCCGCCAATGACCACCTTGCTGACGAACATCTCACCCTTAGGGGCTTTGACCTATGTCGTCCAAGAAGCTGGTGGGTCGAATCTAGACCACTCCGCCTCTAGCTCCTCTCAGGACTCGAACACATTCATCGAACAAAGGGTCGATGGGTCTGAACGTGCGGGACGACGATCGAGTCAGTAGCTTGGGCCATCTCTCGGTATGGTAAGGGTGTGTCCACCACCTCGACCCTAGTAGGAACAACTACTATTCCTACTGGCCCGACGTGTTTCCCGGAGCAGTGCCAGAAGTGCTAGCCACATTGCTACCAACGAGTTGAGGATCCCAACGCCTGCCCCATCGTAGGCGGGATCTTTTCCGTCACCTTCTTATTGCGGCACTTGAATTGGTTGTGGTCGTATTGGTCACAAAGAATACAGGCGTGCCTGGTGTACCTGTCTCTCCACACGTCCTCAGTGAGACCCGCTTTCTCCCATGGAGGAGCATTGGGGGCAACTTGACTCCTAGACCGGGAACCTCCACGACGTCTACCGGTCGCCTTACCTTTCTGTGCTACGGCAGCGACTACTCCACCCCCTGAAGCCTTTACATTGCCAACCTTTGAACCTACTCCCGCCTGGAACTCGTCGTCCAACTCGATGGTTGAACCATCGTTGTCGACGAACATACTGCAGCCCTTCGCCTTCCAGTTGGGAGGCAGTGACTTCTTCCCACCATCTGTCGTGGGTGTCTGACCATGCCCTATCTTTGCTTCAAGGTCTATGGCCTTCTTGCTGAACGATGGGAAGTTGTGCATGTTGATGTTGGCCTCACCTGCCAACTGATTCCTGATAGGCATGGGAAAGCATCTCAAGTAGGAGGTGAGTAGGACCTGAGGGTCATAGCGCACCCCAGGGACATAGATCAGACGCTCTGCAGCGTCAGTGGCCTCCCTTACTGACTTAAACTGCCTCGTGTGCAGTGTCAGGATCGCGTCAGTAGCCTTTTGGGCCTCCTGCGGATCAAGCCACCTGTCTTCCACCAACTTGAGGAAGTCATCCAATTTCTGGGTGACCGCCCAAGCTCGACCCCTCTTATTCAATCAAGAAATAATAATAATAATGTTGAATGGCTAAACCAGAATAAATGTCCGAATCCCTCTTCTACGGTAGGTATCACATGAGGTCCACCATAGCCATGGCACCATTCTCCTTCCTCTTCTCGAAGGCCTAGGCTATGGCGGACTGCTAGGGCCTTGCCCTGATGTGCAGAAGACAACTCACGCAGCTATGGCTGCTCTAGCTCAGGCCGCCGTGCCTGACTCTGCCAATAGCTTCTTGGTGTAGCTTTACCCCTGCTGGGGCCTTCTTGCTGCAGCACCCACCAAGGTGATGAAGATGGCAACCACCATAGCCAGGTAAGTAAGTGCGTCTGGCGCTCCCCCTTCCTAGTCCTGTTCTTCTTCCTCCTGTCCTTGCTCCTTCCCCAGCAGTGCAGCTCTGTGCTAGCGCTGCTCCAGCCAGCGCTCCAACTAGTGTGTCGCCAAACTTGCACACCGACAATGAGGAGGAGCACCTTGCTCGTCCTGGAGGTATAGTGGCCTGCTTGCCTCTTGGCGAGTGACTTCCTAGGCCGCGTGGCCTCCAAGCAACCGGTACATCCTCCCTTTCGAAGGGAAACATCATTGCAGACTCTGATATTTCCCGTACAGGCCTTAGACTCAGACTGGTTGGACTGGTACCCGCCTAGACCCTACAACTACTGGGCCTCTCAAAAATGCCAACTTTTGTCTTCTTCTGCTCGGCCTCGAGTACCCGGCACATCTGCCTCGACTTGGTGTGGCACCGGCCTACCTGCTACTTGAGTGTTTTCCGCTGCTTTAAGTGTCGCAGGCCTCTTTCCCCGCAACTTGAGAGTGTTTTCCCCGCTGCAACCCTCATTGTCACGGCCACAGGTAAGTACCGGCCCTTCGCCGCCTTCGGGCCTTCCAATCAACCAAGCGCCCTTGTGGGTCACACACACGCTCAAGCCGACAAGCACTCAGACAGGCATGCAGACCAGCAAGCACGCACCCACACAGACTCAGAAAACTCAGCAACAAGCGGGAAACATTCCATGGTAAGGCATACATTCCATGAGCAAAACTCAGAAATCAGCTGTGTCTCAGTCCGTGTTTGGCAGGTCATTACAATTGTACTATTTGAGTCTATTTCACTATTTCACTGTTTTACTATTTCACTAGTTTACTATGTTTTGTAACTGAATTTTGGGAAGTTTATTTTGCTGATTATGAAACAGGAGCAAATGCTGACTCTGGAACCCCAGGCGGGGCAGATACAGTTCGGCCCCATCCTGTTGAGCGACGTACCGCGTCCAGAAACTGAACCAGCAAAGGGTAGCTGAAGGAGCATAAGCCGGGAGCGAAATAGGATGTATTGTGAAGTAGAACTGAACAATTAGGAATAGGCGAGGGGATAATTAGAGAGGGGTCTAGATGTACCGTAATAGTCGAAATGGTGTGAGGGGTCTAGATGTACCGTAATAGTCGAAATGGTGTAGAGTACTGGACGTTAGAAGATAGGGGAAGGGGGGTAGAGGGTGAAGCGGTGGGAAGGGAAGGGAGGAGCAGGGATTAACAGGGGGTAAAAAGAGTAAAGGGATCAAGAAAGCATAAAATCGAGGAAAGCTGGTGAGGATGGACAAATAGTAGGACAAGCCAGGTTAGAAGGGGACTAAGAAGGAGTAAGCAGCATACAGTTGGATGCAGTGATACAGGAGGCTACAGTCACATGTCAGGGAGCAAGTAAAGAGGATAGGAAGGGGGTAAAAACTACTAAAAAGAATACATTGATAAAAAAAACATAAAATTGAGGAGAGCTGGGGAGGGAGGAGCAGGGGTTTATAGGGGGTAAATACTAAAAAGAGTAAATCGATCGAAAAAGCATAAAATCGAGGAAAGCTGGGGAGGATGGATGAATAGTAGGACAAGCCAGGTTACAAGGGACTAAGGAGGAGTAAGCAGCATACAGTTGGATGCATTCATACAGGAGGCTACAGTCACATGTCGGGAAGCAAGTAAAGAGGATAGGAAGGCCAAAGCAACAAGATTGGTGAAAGGGTAGTACGAGAATAGCATGAGAACATTATGTGGAAGGGGTTGAACAAGGGACAGTGCAAGGGGGGTAAGGTCTAATAAGGGACAGTGTAGGGGGGGTAGGTCTGATAAGGGACAGTGTAGGGTGTTTAAAGTAGCACAATGGTATTGAGATATGGTAACAAGAGTGTGATGACATAAACCATGTGGTCTGAGAGACTGCTACGAACGCCCTCCCCCCGCATCTAGCGCCCCTGGGATCTTTCTGCTGTGTGACTTGGTGCTGCCAGTAAGCTTCCCTGCCAGCGGAAGATCAGCAGAAGACCCGAGGTTTGGGGGAGGGACGATTCGTGATAGCCCTACACTACCTTCTGCAGGTGCCGAGTGCCGAAAGGGCAAGGCCGACTGCATGTGATACATGCCCAGTTGGGCAATGTATGTACAACCAAGGATCTGCAATGTGATGAAAAGGACTGAATGGACAATGCGATGTCAGTGAATCATCAACGAGCAATGTGCGTCCTGATACATACGAAATGGCACTTAGTAGCGCAGCGGAAGATTTCAAGATAAGTCCTGACCTGACCGGACTGACATGTCATCCCATCATACATCACCCATGTGAGAGGAGGAACGGCACACCAAGAAGAAAGGTCCCTCCTTGTACACGCAGATGGGGAGATACCATAGACGAGGAATGGAGGGAGAGGAAGGACGAAGATGGAGGCGAGGGAGAAGTCCAGGATCGCAACAGCGAAGTCCAAAATAGTCCCTTGCCGATGTCCAATCAATGTCTGCCTCAGAAATGTCGAATCAGACCCTGGGCAACGCGCCCACCGCAACCTCTGCCGATATCCTCTGCTGATAACCTCTCTCACTCTCGTATTTGAAGAAGAAGAAGAAGAAGATGAAGAAGGAAGAGAAGGGAGGAAGAGAGAGAGAGAGCGATGAGGTGGAGGACGAGGAGGAGGAAGAATATGCAGGCCTACTCCTTATCTCACCTGCAGCTAGCTGCCGCCTGACTATGTCGTCACTCTGTGCAGGTACCGCGCGGAGTCCCAGCTATGGCGCCAGGTAAGTCCGCTGCTGCAGGTAGGCCTCCGCCTCTCTCACTCTGTCCTGTGCCTTCTCCTCGTAGCTCAATGGTGCTGCGCTCAGACGAGCGTAGCATCGCGCAGCTCCCTTCCAGCAGCGTGTCGCTCAAGAAGTGAGCAACCGGACCGTCCAGTGCCCAGCTGGAGGCCCAGCTATATAGTGCGCTGGGCCCTACTGGGCGAACCGTTGTGTGGCCTGGAACGGCCTGCACGGTCGAGGTCCCTACCGGGGCCCAGACCGTGCTGGATGCAGTATGGCGCCAAAACGCGCCTGGGCCTGTTTCGGCCCTGCAGCATGGCGCCAAAATGCGCCTTGGCCTGTTTCAGCCCTGCATCTGGTGCACCCAGCCCAAGGCCGTGCCTTGGGGACTGCAAGTCCGAAACGGTTCCTGAACCGACAAAAATAGGACAGCACCTCACATCATAAATAAATAAATAAATAAATAAATAAATAAATAAATAAATAGATAAATAAGTGCGTGCGCCCTCACCCTGTGCCTGCGGCCTAGAGGGCTGCCGTGGGCCTCCAGGGCGCGCGCTGGATGGCGCGCGGCCTGGGGACCCCTCAGCAGCCGTCGGTCCCCTGCAAATGGGCCCGTGTGCAGGCGCAGCATGCAACACGATGTCTTACTTCTTCTCGGCTGTACTCTCATGTTTGTCGGTGATAAGCAACCGGACTGACGCCTCCAGAATAGAAGGGGCCTGTGTCGTTGGGGCCCCAAAAAAAAAAGAAAAAAAGAAAGAAAGAAAAAAAAGAGGAGGCTTTTGAGATTGATGTCTCTTGTCTGTCTTGTGTGCACATTTCATCTGATGTAGGAGTCCAAGCTGTATGGCGCACATTTCAGAGAGATAAGTGCGGATGCACCGAAGGCACAGAAGATCGTTTTCAATGATGATGATGAGTGATTCTGGAACAAGCGACAAATCATGACGAGCGAGGAGCGTGTTTCTCCTGATGCCCCTAATGCTGTTGGCACAGAACTCGTGACAAAGGGAGGAATATCCTGTGTGGCCCCTGATGAAAGTCATTCTGAGAACAATCTGAGAACTCAAAGTGTGCAGCAGTTCAAGGTCCTCAGAATGATCAGATGAGATGGCGGTAAGTTTTGTTGCGTTGCAAGCATCTCTGCCTTTGTGCACTGGTGTCACAACGG